TCCAGGAGTGTGGCTGGGGGTCTTCGCTGGTGGTTCTCAGCTTCTGCAAACAGCGAGCCATACCCAGCACCCGTGAGCTGGGGCTGCTCTATGGCTGGTCTCTGGGGCTTCACACGCAGGCATCGTCCTCAGCATCAGCTCTGCTATCCGTCAACTGGTGCAACTCACATTTAAACAAACCCACTTGCAGACGCTTGTTGGGGAGGGTGAATGAAAACAAAGCAGCTCTTGCCCTGGCCAGCCTGCAGTGTGAGGAACCTGCCGTGCTGCCGCCTCCTGCCATTTTGACCTGTCCCCCTCCCAGGTGCAGAGCGTGCAAACCCCTCCTCATGAGAAAGAGGAAAAACGATTTTAAAATTTATTCTAATGAAGTTAGAGTGCCTGAAAAACACAGCAAAGCCCAGGTGAGGACTTCCAGGTACACAGGGGAAAGGGGAAACTTTATCAGTGGCATTGATTTACAGTTTTGCTGTGGGGGTGGTCTTAGCCAGCAGTTTCCTTAACTTCCCAGCCATACAGCCATGTGAATGGGTGTCAGTGGTATTTCACAACAGAGATGTGCCAGCCCCTCCTGGCTGCTGAGAATAAAAATAGCTGGAGAAGATAACGTGTACTTGAACCCAGGTGGCAAAACCAGAAACCCAAATAGTTTGCCTAAGCACAGAGTGGTTTAAAATAATGTGGTTGATAGTTTTGGGAACAGATCTGCTATTTCTAGTTCTCTAGACAGGCAAGGGTGGCTGCTTACTTTTGTAAAGATAAACCTCTTCTTAAACAGCAAAATGGAGGAGAAACTGCTGATCAGAGCGCAGTCCTGGTCCAGCACAACTGAATCCCCTTCCAGGGAACAGGACAATTTCCCCATCCCAGAGCATCCTCTGGGCAGCTGGGGGACTGTGGACACCCACGGTATTCTTCCTCCACCTGCAGCAGCATCTCCTGGGACTGCAGGCAGCCTCTCTCCTCCTCTCCCCATGCTGTCCCAGCATTTTGTGGTCCAGTGTGTTCCTGGCATGGCAGCACCCAGCAGCAGCTCCCTCCTCCTCTGGTCCCATTAAAGTAGCAGTGCCCCTTGCAGCTCCCTCACTCCTCTCACCCCAGCCCATCCCTGTTGCTTTTCTCCCAACCCAACAGCTGTCTCCTCTCCAGCAGAGCAACTCGGACCAATTCATCCAAGCTGGCCAGATGTCACATCCTTCAAAGCAGCACAACAGCCCTTGGAAGCAGGCTGGTGGCTGAGGCCACACGTGTGACCCAAACCAGATGCCCCACCCCCAGCAATCCTGCCTGCACCAGCCTGTGCACTGCATCCTGGTGCACTCTGTTTTCCAGCGCATCCATGGCCCAGGGCTGCGTGGGTGAGCTGTAATCCTGGCTGCCTCCTCTCCATCACTGTGGCCACCCAGAAGCCCTCTACTCTGCCCTTGAAGGGGAGATCAGCACCTTTGTGAGGCATGTGCAGCAGTGCCAGCAGGGCTTCAACCTGCACAGCCTGTACCATGGTGCTGCCACAGAGCCCCTTGGGGCAGGTGGAGAGCTGGCAGCACTTGCAGACACTCGCCTAGGGCCAGCCCGGCTCACCCAGCCCTGACGTGGCCAGCTATGTGGGCTGGCTGGCCTCCTCCCTGCAGCACCTGAGCATGCTGAAGGAGAGGTTTGATGCCAGGGTGGTGGTCCCACTCTGTGAGAACTTGTACATGCACAAGGAACCAGCTGCCCATCCCCCCAGCAATTCCCCCCCCAGCATCCTTCCCGCACCTGGCTGCACAGCTCTTTGCCCATCGGCAGAGCGGCCCCCTCAGAGAACAGGTCTTCAGCCCCCAAAGCCTGTGTGATCTGCACGACTTCGCTGGTGTGGGGCCCTTCGTGAAGGTCTTGCAGCTAGTCCCCAACGTCTTTTACCAGAGCTTGGCCACGGCAGAGCTCGCTGGCACTGCGCTGCCCTGGCCGAGGAGCTGCAGAAGAGCCTGGAGCTGGAGGAGTACCGCCACAGTGTCCTGGTGGCAGACTGGCTGCTGGAGCTGGAGGATTGATGGGGTAAGGCACGCGTGCTGACTCCGCTTGTGCTCCCTGCCCTGCCTCCCAGGGTGACAGTGGGGGCACTGCCACGGGCCGGGGAGCCACACGGAAAGGGCCAGACATCCAGGTGGAGATGTGAGTCTTATGGGATTCAGTAGAGCTATGGCCAGTCCAAATTGACGGCCCGTTGGGCAGCCCCGGGCATTCATGTGTGAGGAAGGAGAGTTCACGGAGTAAGGAGAGTTCATGGAGTGGGGAATGGGAGAGGGAGTGTTTCTTAGCATAGCAGAACAGCCTGCGGGAAACATTAATGGATGCTCCCATCCAGCCCACATGGATACTCAGGAGCTGACCTCCTCATGCTGCCTCCTCTTCCTCACAGGTTCAACAGCACTGCTGGGAACTGGAGAGGATGCTGCGAGGCCAGGCATTACCCAGTCCACAGCAAGCCCAGCTCAGCAGTGGCCTGGCCACCAACTCTGCACCCCAGTGGGCTCAGCCCTCTGCCACCTCCTCCGTGGCAGCAGCCAGCCCCAGCAGCAGCCAGCAACCCTGACCACAGGTGGTCAGACAACCACCTACTCCCAGCAGCAGCACCCGGGAAAGCACAACATCCAACCTACCACCACGTGGGCTGCAGGCAGCCAGCAGCTCACGAGGGCCTCACTCAGCTCCTGCCTGGGAAGAAAGCATGGAAGAAATGTGTCTTTAATGAGATGTTTCTTCTATGCTCAGCCCATGGCCCTACCATTCTGCATGTAGCTGGGTAAAGAGATGGGCAGTGTGTGCTGCTGAGCATGCAGGCACATGCATGCATGCATGTGTGTATGGATGCAAGCAGGGATGAGTATGTGTTTTTGGTTATATATGGGGCTCAGCCTCCTGTTTCCAGCAGCCACCACAGGGGCTCTACAGCAACCAGGCTGCTTGGTGGAGTGCCCACCCCCATGCTGGTAGCTGGTGACAAGGTGACAGTCTCCACTCCATCTGGAGTTTGCTCTCTCACTGGCTCCTGTTATGGGCAAGAAATAGTTTTGTGCCAGGGAATTTTAATCAGTTTATTGCAAATTAACAAATAAAAGTGGAGATCCAGACATGGTTCCTGTGAAGAGTTTATTGGTGTAGCTGTTTCCACTACAGTCAGGAGTCACAATGCACAGCGACAACAGGCCTCCTACACTACACGGGGAGGACAGGACACACATGGCCACAAACACAGAGACACTCGTCTCTCCACCCCATGCCCTGCGGGGGCCAGCTGTGGAGCAGGAACCTGCCTCGGGGGGAGGTTTCTCTTTCTGGTAGGATATTTCTGCAGCCTCCCAGGGAAGGCATTGGACCCTCCTGGTAACGAAGCACTCACCACTTCTCACAGGAGCCAGGCTGGTAAGTGGGAACGGGGGCAGTGGCTTGTCCCACATCCAGTAGCAAAGCAGGCATCCCAGTCTCCTCCACAAGGCCACTCCAGCTCTGACCATCAGGGAGAAGCTGGGGTGCCTGTCTCCTCTGGCACTACCCTCAGAGCTGCCACTGGCAGCGAGGGCACCATCAGCACTTTCTGGGGCAGCTCTGAACAAGGGCTGCCAGCCCAGGGAGACCCCAAGGGACAGCCCTGCCAGGCAGAAGGGTGTTCAGAGCTGCCCAGAGGTGACAGGGGCTGAGTGCTGGCATGCTAAACACTGCTCTATCTCACTTGGAGGGCACCCCAGAACATGAAAGGTCACCCAGGTATGGCAGCACAGTTGGGGCTGGAGGTTTCAGTGGCTTCCTTGTAGGGGTCAGGGAACCAGCTTCAGTGGATCACTGCACAGGGAAAGGGAAGGGACACAAAGGACAGTTTTGTGCTCCAGCACTGTTACCTCTTATATAGCTTTTTCAATGTGGTTTGTTCTCAAGGACAAGAATGGAGGGATCAGGAACTTGGATGCAGCCCTGTGATGAGTTTTTACTCCTGCAACCTTTGCAGAGGTGCAGAATGGAAAAGGACTCCTCTTAGTCCCTGCAAGAGGGCAGGCATATGAGGTTTCAGGATACCTGCTTGTGCCCAGCCTCCCCTCCCCATGCAGTTTTCTCTTGGGAAGAGGGCTGGGAAAATTGGAAGGAAGCAAACTGCCTCTCCCATGCTGAACAAGAGCTGAAAACAGTCCTGTAGGAGGGTGACTAGGCAGATGATGGTCTGGAGGACAGGGCCAGGGTGCTGGTCCCTCCTTGTCTGTCTGCCATGCTGCAGCAGCCCTGGGGGGCAGGGGCTGTGGCACAGGCCCAGCATGAGGACTCCTGGAAGAGGGCAGACGGAGCAGGAGCAAGGTATCCACCAGTTGAGCAAGGAGGCTGCTGACCTGGGAGATGCCCACTGGCCATCCACGGGCAGCACCCAGCCCATCCCTGTGGCATGTAGTGCTGAGACACCCAAGTTTCGTGGTAGCAGAGGGGAACACAGTGGCACCAGCTGGCAAGTCTCCCCTTCACCACCTGGAGACCAGGCACAGACTGCCTCCAGCAGGGAGGGGGCAGACTCCTGACCCACAGGCACTCAGGGCCCACACAGCTTGGGATGTGAGAGGCATCTCTCAGCCCACAAGGTCCAAGAGGAGAGAGACTCAGCCTCTGCTGAGCGAGTGAAGGGGCAGCAGGAGCCGGGGCTGCCTCCTGTGGGGCTATGGAACAGCCGTTCCTCGGTCCAGGCAGGAGATCATGTGCTTCGCAGCAAGTCTCCAGTTAGTCCTCGGGAGGGACGAGCAGGCACGAGTGGCCTGTCCCATGAGTGGGGCGGGCAGCTCCCAGCTCACACAGGCATGTGCAGCTCGTTGTACTCGTCCCGGCCATCCTCGTCAAAGTTTGGCTCCGCGTCTTCTGAGTCCAGCTGGGGAGAGGCAGAGACCGGGCTCTGAGGGCCGCAGCCGAGCCCCGCGCGGGGCCAGGCCTGGCACCGAGGGAGCGGTGTGCAGCCAGGCAAGCAGCTGGGCTGCGCTGGCACAGCAAAGCTCCTGCTCCTCCCCCTCCCAACAGGCTCCTTTTTTGCCTCTCATGTCCATCTATGCATTCCCACCCTGATGCCTCTTCCTGTAAACATTCTTGTTTAACAGTGTCCCATCACTGAGGCTTTGGGTGTTTCTGGGTGCTGCTCCAGGCTGCCCCCCAACAGGAGCTCAGGATGTTGGCAGTAGCAGAAGAGCTGCCAGCTCCCTGGTAGTGTGGTTACGTGCTCCTGTGCCAAGCAGCCACACACTGCACTGTGCTGCCGGGCTATCCCTGCTGCTGTTTCAGTGGGGAAATGGGGCGTCTCTTGATAAATGGGCAAGAGAATGGAAGAGGAAACCCTTATTCCAGGCCTCTGCATGATAGGATCCTCCATTTCCTTGCCTTAAGGTGCCCATCCACCCCACACTGCACTCTTAGAGCTACAAGCTCTGAGGAAGCCAGCCACCCACCTACTGCTGTTGGACAAAGAACTCCAGACAACCGCAGGGAAAGCCAAGGCTTTGCCGGCCCAGGATCTCCCAGCCTTTCAGACTGTCCAGTCTCCTCAACCTCACCCCAGTGTTGCAAGCTAGACTGTGAGGACAGTCATCTGCTTACCGCTTTGAGCTCCCTGTCGTGGAAGAAGCGGGGCAGCACGAAGCGTCGCAAGGGCACCGTCATTATCAGGACAAAGGGGAAGGCCAAGGATGCCACCGTAGATTTCACCACCCACAGCAACACAATGCAGGCTAGTTGAATGCAGGTGAAGAGATTCATTCTCCAGGTCTTCACCTAGGGAGGTAAATCCAGTCTAAGAACACAGTGTTGTTTCACACAGATAAGAATGAAGACCCAACTGGTAAAACAAAACCCTTCTGCATAGAACAGTGCAGTAACACAACACTGTTCCATGCTCTGCCTGCCTGTACTCTCCAGCAAGGCAGAACCCTGTAACACCTCAGCCTCTGAGCAACCTAGCAGCGTACCCACCTGGCAGGGCAGTGGCCCTACAGCCACACAAACAATGCATCACTCCTATAAACAGTCTGTCCATACAACAGCCTGGCAATACACTCCTGTATGCAGCCTGTCAGCATGCTGTCCTAGAGTCCCACTTTCACTCACTTTTTGGCACAAACTTGAAGCCAAGAGGGGCCACCAAGGCAAACATCATTTTGGTAAAGCACCACCCTCCCCTCACTTGCCTCTTCTTCCTCTGCTCCCCATTACCTGCTTCCCTGCAACCCCGCTTGACTCACCTTAACAACATAGATGTGGTCAGGGTGGTGCTTGGATGGCATGAAGATCAGGAGCAGCCGCTCGTAGAGCTGGATGCCAGTGAGCGACGTAACCCCCATGTAGAGGAAGATGCCGAAGAGCACAGCAAGCGGGATCTGCCGCAGCATGTTCCCCATCACAATGGACAAACCTGCACAGACAGAGCTCAGGGCATCGCGTGTCTCGTGTCAGACCCTCCCCACCTCCGCTGCCTCCTCTCTCTCACCTCCTGTCTGTCTGTCCCGGGGTGTGAGGGAAAGGAAGGTCAAGAGGGGTCTAGCTGGAAGGGTTGCAGAGATGGAGTGACCATGGCAGGGGGTACTGAAGGTTGCCAGAGGGGAGCTGAGTGCAAGTGGGGGCAGTCCTGCAGCAAGTGGCCCACGGGGCAGGGACACTGCCAGGAGATTCAAGTGGTCAGCCCTGACCTCCTCTCTTGCTCCTTCACCCGAGCAGAGGCTCACCGACAAGGGCAGCAATAAGCACTCCGGTCACACGCTGCTCCTTCACCTCCTCGATCTTGGGCTTCTCTCCAGGTGCAATGGCCTTGCTCATGACCGTCAGGGCGTTGACGTGGGTGACGGAGCGCACCGTCGCCGCGGTCAGCCAGGGCAGCCCGAAGAGTGCGCAAAGCCCCCCCATGGTGCCAATGAGCAGCAGGTCCAGGTGGAAGCCAGAGCCTTTCAGCAGCTTCCTCTCCTTCTTGCTCACAATTAGCCTGGAAGGAAAAAGAGCCCAAGTCAGTGCCAGGCCCAGCCCAGTGCCCAGGGACAGCACTGTGGCTGGGAACAATGTTCATTCCCTGGAGAGAGAACTTATGGGAACAAGGAGATGGCTGAGGAGAGGGACAGTGACTGTCAACCTCAGGTTAGAGGTTCCCTCCTGTGCTTGGCGGAGGCAGGTCTCCACCACTCTGTATGCCAGGAGGGGAGCCAAGAGATAATGGGAGAACCCAAGAAGGTACAGTTTGAAATTGCCAGGATCATGCCTTTGCTCTCTCTCTGGGATGCCAGGTGCATCTCCACACGAAAGGCACCAGCACCCATCCCAGCCTTGCTTGCCCAGGGGTTAGTGATGGTTGGTGTTCGCAGGGAAGGTACTCACGTAGTGATCTGTGTCTCCATGAAGATAAGAATGAAGACCAGGAGGGCAGGGATGGCAGAAGCAAACATCATCCACATCGGAAAGGTCCCACTGCTGCCCATGGGGTGAATGAACCAGCCACGCTTGTGAGGAGATGTGACTGACAGGCCAGAGGGGACATTCAGCTTCTGGTGGTGTAGCCACAGAACCCAGCAGTTACTTATCAATACACACGTGCCCACAGCCTCACACAGGACTAGCCTTGATTCTCCTGCTCTCCCTGGTCTGCATGCCTCAGATGATGGGACAGCCACGGTGACCCAAGCAGGACTTTCTCATGGATAACCCCCTTGAAGTACAAAAATCCCATGTCCCCAAACAGGGGCCTGTCTCATTTCCTTTCAGCTATGGGAATTCCCTTGGTTTTTGTCCAAGCGAGAAAGGAAGTATCTTCCCTCAGGAACCTCACCACCATGTCAGTGTTTGCAGACCATGGTTAAAATGCTCCTCAACCTCCGCTTGGACAAGTCAAGTGTCCTGAACTGCCCACCCTTCTCTGAAGTGGCTTTCCAGTTTTTCCAAGCCTCTTCTAAGACATTTTTCAGTACTGTTTTTTCAGCATGGACTCCAGAAGTTGCCCCATTCTCTGGAAATGACCTCACTCTGATTGTGTTCAGAGAGAATATTTGTGCTTCCATCAGAGACCACGCAGACTCCTAGCTGTACATCGTCCTGACCCAGCGTTCACCAGCATTTGAACTCTCAGCTCTGCACTGCTCTACAGCAGCTCTTACCATATGCCTGTGTGAGCTCTGCAGGGAGAGTTTATGATTTGCATTTATGTTAATCAGCGTAAGTATGAATAATATTCCTGGAATGCTTGTACTTGAGCTAAGCTGTGTAACTACCATTTTCTCTGAAAGCTTTGTACATATGCTGAGTTCGTACTGCAGTGATAATGCTTTTGATATTAATTGTAGAAGTGTAGAATGGTATGAAAAGGATCTAACAAAGTGCATGATTTTACTAATGTCTGGTAAACCCAGATTTTTCATTGGAATTTAAATGAATAAAAATGCATTTGGATTCCATTAAGCCTTGGGCTGTGTTGATAAAAAGCTTGCATGCTGAACAGGAAATACCTTTCACCCTCTCCCCAGTGTTAGTTGAAAAAAAAACACCAAAACAAACAAACAAAACTAACCACTGCTAAAAAAGCAGGGCTGGAGGTGGCAGGGGGAGGGGGGAGGAAACCTCTGGCATAGGTTTGTTTCATAACATTTAAGTTTGTGCATAAACTACGGAAGAGATTGTTGTGTTTGAAATAAAGTGATCAAAATATTTAATAGTCAATAATCAAGGAGAGTATAAACATGTTAAGTACTAAACCTTCGACAAGTACCCCACTGAAACCACTCTATATTCCACCCCCTTCGGTGTGCATAACCAGTTTATGTTCTGTTGATCAACTGCAAGTTTGCAGAGCTACAAACAAGGTCCCCTAAAGCCTCTCCTGCTAACAGCTGGAATACCAGAGGGATACCAGGGTTCTCCAGTCCCTGTAGCTCTGGTCTCAGTCTCAGCAAGACCCTCGGAGATTCCCTTCAGCATGGGAGCAAGGACGAGGGGAGTGTCTCGGTTTGCTGTGTGCCTTTATGACTAAAGAGGTAGGAAACCCAAAACCCCATTGCACGAGCGCAGGCCACGGTGCCACTGGGATCGCTGCTGGGCTGCAGGAGGGGGTCCGAGGGCAGCATTGGGGCCTACCTGCGTGTATGTGTCAGTGATGGTGTAATCCACCAGCACCATGACCAGGATGGAGATGGGGATCCCGAAGTCTCCAATGATCCGCCGAGCCTGCAGAACAAACACCCTCACTGGCAAAGGGAGCGGGCCAGCTCCATACACCCACCCTGCTACAGGGAGCCTGTGGCAAAGCGAAGTCCCGGATGGGGTCAAGCAACACAGCAAAGCTGAGTGCTGCTCATGAGCAGGGCAAGTGAACCCAGCTTTGACCCATGGGGCTGTGCGTCTCGCTGTCCACATAACACACAGTCCTCAGCCACTCTAGAGTGACTGGCTCATTGCTCCTAGGGGCCTGTTCAGATGGTGCTCCAGGTACTAAACAGATTCCTGCATGTACATACAGAGATGTCCAAAAGGAACAAGTTGAAAGTTCTTCCTCTTATATTCCAGTTTAACAGGTTTGTATGCAGCCAGCAGAGCTTTCCCAAGACCCAGGGGACTTTCCAGCAAAGCTCACTGGAGCAGGACAGTGCAGATACCATCAACAGCCCATTCTGGTCTGCTACCAGCCCTCCTGCACGGTATTTAAGGGACTGTGGTGTTTCTTTGGGGAATGGTTCAAATGCTCTGGAGAACAAAGGTCTGTAGCAAGAAGCATTATTTGTTTGGGGCACAACTCCTGTCCTTAACATCTGGGTCTTGCAAACTTCTTACCTTTCCTCCTAAAAACCGGCTGTTCTTGAACTTGCGCATAAAGAAGGCAATGAAGAAGGTGCCTAGCATGAGGATGAGGGAGAGGAGAGCAGTGTTGGGCTGCATCCTGATTCCCAGGGACATCGCATCCGCAGAGAGCATGCTGGCATTCAGGCCACTCTGCACATTCGGTGGGTAGAACTTCAGCAGAGGATGTTCTGCAAACACCTGGGGAGGTGAGAGAAGCAGCGGGCACTGTCACACCAAGGAGGGGCAGGGGGACGTGGAGTTGTCCTGCTCTGTGGGGAGGTAAGGGCAGTAGATGGTGGGCACGGACAATCCCAGCATCTGTCACCTCGCTTCGCAACCTACCCAGCTGGAGAGGGCTGGGGAGAGAAAAGTGGCCCCTCTTTAATGCCTCCTGCAGGAAGAGAAGGGGAGATAGACATTAGGGGCTCATCCTGCCACCCTCTGTGGTGGCACAGGGGCCAGCTGGGCTGGGGCATGAGAGGCCAGCAAAGAACTGCTCTGCAGAACGCCTACGAAAGCTGTGGCTGAGCTGGCCCTGTTCCCTTGCCTCCTGCAGCAGGTTCCTGGGGGATTAAGAGATGCAGCAGCCCACCCCTCTGGGGAAGGTTCACCTTGTACAGTTTGTAGAAGGTCTCGTAGATAAAGATGAGGGAGATGAGGAAAGCAAAGATCTCCTGGGTGAAGGGCGAGATGTAGCGCACCAAGAAACTTCCCTCAGCTGCCACAATAATGAAGATGAAGACGATGAGCCACAAACCAATCCACACTCTGCCTGTCAGATACTCAATGCCTTGTGTCTGGCAGAACTGAAATGGAAAAGGGAATGAGTTACTCATGACTCTTCAGGCTGTCTCGCACATCTGCTCCCCATTAAGATCAAAAGGTCTTCTGGAAAAAAAGCATCTACATCTGCTCGTGCAACCAGCACAGAGACAGTGAATTCAGAGCTGGAGTCACAGATAAAGTTGCAGACTTTGCATTAACACGAGCCAGCTCACACCGAGTGGGTCTATTCTGCTCCAGTCTTTGTAACAGTACCTCCTTCACTCTCTGCTGAAGCCATCCTATGCATGATGCTCCTCATCCTACCCATATGGAGGTGCCATTACTCCAACACAGCTCTCCACTGCTCCGTGCACACAACAGCACAAGCCTGTTCCCTGTAAAGAAGAGCCCGAGCAGCCTGCTGTGTCCTGCTGCATAAAGGCTACGTTAGCTGGGGCACGATCCCAGACAGCACCCTGTGTACACACAGTTATATGTGTGGAGAAAAGTACCCAGGATGTCACCACAGAACAGACCACCGTCACTGCCTCTGCTCATCCACACATAGCAACACCAACTACTTCCAGCACAAATCACATCCCTCCCTTTGCAGCCTTCTCCAGTACCACCACAGACAGTGTCCTCACACAGGGCAGAGGTACATCTTTGTACCCATGATGGGGCAAAGCAAAAGCAGTCAGTGAGAAGTGTGGTCACAGGAGAGCAGAGAAATTCCCACTGTGCAATGGCATCACCAGCTCAAACTCTTGATGCACCATGGTGAAAATCTAGCTGTAGGAAAAAACATGCTTTAAAAGCCCACACATGCTAGGAGTCAGAAAAAAGGATAAGGATTAGACCCACTGCTTGGAGGTATGGTGACACAGGGATGCTTTTAACAGTGGTCATGCTGCTTGAGAAAGAAACATGTCCGTCCTAGGTGGCCAGGATATCTCTGCACACACCCTTGGGCTAATCCTGAGAGGTGGGAGTAATGTACGTGGGACATCCCAAATAGGTGGTACACTGAATGTTGTTGGGTTCCAATAAAAGGAAAACTGGACACAGGTAAAAGTTGTGAAACAGTTTTCAAAGGAAGCCTGAAGAACAAGGTCAGTATTTTAGGCTGCAGCTACAAGTGCTCATCGTGCCAGGATGGGCTGCAGCACAGAGCTGAGGGCTGAGCAGCCCGAAGTCAGCAGGTGGGGGAGTGCTGTTACCACTGTCACACCTCAAGGGGGTCAGCCCATGGAACACAGCCATGGGAGGCAGAAGCCCCTATAACATGACCTGCAAAGGGTCAGCAGAGCCACAGCCAGCCCTGGCCAAGCTGAGGGCAGCCTGGCAAGACCTGAGGAGTCCACACCACCAAAGGCCCTTAGGAGAGTGGAGAAATGCCAGCTGTCCTCTCCAGTGCAAGGCCAGAGCGAGCAGGTGTCAAGCACAGACACTGCCTCACATGTACCTTGTAAAAAGCTTCTTCAAACACCAGCAGAGGCCCTGAGAAGCCAATGACCAGGAGCGGCTGGGCTCCAAGCAGGGAGAAGAGGATCCCTAAAACCGAGGTGGAGATTATCAGCTCGGAGACCCCCATGAGACCCTCAGTTTTCTCTCCTGGGAAAGAGAACAATGTGTGAGTGTTATAGGCAAGACACAGGCACTGTCACCACAGGCAGGCAGGCTGCAGACACGGCTCCAGACAGAGGAGGCAGGTCCCCGTCCCCTCAGTCAGAGGTCCCTTGTGTTGGGCAGGGAGCACAGAGGGAGTCCGGGGAGCCGCGGCTGGAGAGACCAGGTGGCAGGGAGGGGACAAGGCAGCAGCCGAGGCGCGGCACTGCCGCTCCCCCTGAGCAAGCAGCACCGAAGCCCACCCCAGCACAGCACCACAGACACAGCCAGTGTCCCAGCGTGCAAAGAGCAGACCAGAAAGCAGGCCCATTACCTAGGAGTCCCCCGAAGGTGATGGCAGGAGAGAGAGCAGCAAAGTAGATGAAGAGAACGGCTGCGAGACACTGGCTGTGCAAGGCGTCTCTGATGTCACTGAGGTATTTGGGGTACCTGCGCTTTATGTCCCGAACCAGACCTCCAAAAAATATCCCGGTTCGCTTCAAAGGGTCGTCCTCAGCTTCCTCCTCTTCTTCCTCAGCTTTCACTTCACACAGCTCTGGAGGTGCACAGAGGGCAGGGCTTGAGCAGAGCAACGCAGGTCCACCTTGGGCTGTCCCTCTCCCACGTACCCCATGGAGACCTTCCTCCAGCAGCGCTAACCTGGTGTGGCCTCAGCGACTGCACATGCCGCTGCCTCCTGCTGCCCCCAGCTACCCACAGCCACTGGCCTCCCTCTCCGCTGCCCACTGCAGGAGCCAGGCCTCGCTCACCCCTCTGCCAGGCTCTGTGAGGGGAGGACCCACTAAAGCACGCAGGGCACTAGGCACAGACTCTTTTGCCCAAATGTGAGTGGAGAGACCTTTGGCTTCCTGGACAGCTCCCTCTTTCATGGACTTCTGCTCCCTCTCCTTCCTCTTCCTCAGCAGCAACTTCTGGAAGGTGGCAATGGATTTGAGCAAGTCTTTCCCCTCCACCTCCGAGGGAGGGATGACAATGCTGCAGTCCAAGAACTCATTGATTGCATTGAGGAGGTCTTGACGGTCATCTGCCATGTATGCAGCCTCATGGAAGTGCTGGGAGGGGCACAGAAAAAGAGAAGAAGAAGGCTCAGACCAAAACTGCACTCAGCTTCCTACTTCCTGGAAACACAATGCTTGCTGTGACTTTACAGTAACATCCCACCCCCTCGACCCACTACGTGTCTCACTACTGCCACTCTGTGACCCACGCTCCTGACTCTCTCCTTATCGTCCCTCCGCCCAATGCTCCTCAACTAATCCCACGTCTCTCCTCCCTTCCCTATCCATCCTTTCCAGTGACCTCCCTGTTCTTGCTTTTCTCAAGGCCCACTGTCCCTTCCCAAGATTGTTCTCTTGCAGCATCTCTGCCAGCTGCATGCTCTGCCAGCCCACAGGGTGCCCCTCATTGGGCCTCTCCATCAATCAAAACCAGGTCTGTAGTTCCCAGCTAGCCTGGTGCCTCTCATTCCCTAGGCCAGATGCTACACCTGGCCAGCCTGTGCCTCTGTTCACACCAGATCGCTGTGGCTGCATCAGACCGAGATCCTTCTCACTCCAAGATCTGCATGCCATTGCTGAGTCCTGCAGGGCTCTCCTTCAGAGCCCAGCTCAGAGATGTATCAGAAGACAGGCCACAGACCATGGAGGTGAAAGACCTTCCCTGTCCCTGCCGTTCAAAATTAGGACTCTGCAACAGACCAATATCCACATAGTCTGGACTTGGGTTTGTTGTGAGGGAGAAGCTGGTGGAGTCCTAAAGCACCACAGGTAAAGCACAAGAATCAGGAGCTGAGCAGGGACCTAAGAGATTCTTGGGAGTCTCCATGTGGGAGAGGCAGGGATGTCCACGTGGGATGTCTACAGCATGAGGGAGGCTGTGCAAGGGAAACCAGGCAGAAAAGGGGAGATACTCCTGACAGCAATGGTGAGATGACAAGGAAGGACTCCAAGGAGACCATGAGGAGACAGGACAGATCTGCCTATCTCTGCAGATAGGCAGAGAGATGCTGGCAAATGGGTGGAAATGCTGCATTGCCTCTGGTATGTGCCTGCAGAGGCGGAGAGGAAGACGAACAAGTGAACAGCCTGTAGAGCAGGTAGAGGACAGCTAAGGTCCCCACAGCACACAGACTCCCTGGAGCCACAGCTCCAACCTGTAAATGACACCGTACTCGGTTCATGGCGCCAG